AAGCTCTCGACAAAATCCCGCCGAGTCCAAAAATGTCACTCAAAAGTCTAGTGGACGTATGGCGCTAAATCCCTGGCAGACGAGCCATCACGGCTGGGAGATACGCGAAAGACCAGAGAGACAAAGTGGGCGGTGGGCGGCGGTGCAAGCGTAAGCGCAAGACAGTGGTGATCGTGAATCGTGATCAGTTGCTGCGCAGCCGACGCCAGAGGGAGGTTGGGAGGCGAACGGCTCATACAGCCGCAGCACATCACGCCACGTCATCAGGTATCTATGGTTCAACGGGGTTTGAACCCAGCTTTACTTTCTGACCGGTCAAGAAATCTTTGAAGAACAAAAGTGCCGCCGTTCACTTCGTAGTGAGACTAGTTGAGATCATATGTCCGATTTTGAAAAATAATTAAGCGTTCACTTGTATGGCAAAAAGTTACCTTATTTTACGATGCGGGTTAAATGACCCTAGATTCCCATTCGGTCACCCTGCCAATGTACTTCTCCCGTACCCGCAGTGCTTCAGCCTGGCGGTGAGCTAGGGTCACAGCGAACTGGGCCTCCTCCGCGTGCGTCACCGGGTCCTTGTCCTTGATGACGTCCAGGAGTACGCCGTGCCGCGATGCCAGCTCCGCCACCAGCACCAGGTACGGCGCCGTCATGCACTTGAGCTCCTCGTCAAGGCGGCTCATGCAGGTAGGCCAGACTATACTTCAGATGACCACAAGCGATCGCACGTCCACATGGTCCACATTTCAAAACAACGGCGCGAGAAGCATGCACGACCTTCCTGGGAGGCATCGATGCTCTTCACCACCGCGATGTCCTCGCCGGCACCGCTGGCCAGCAGGGCGTCCTTGGAGGCCCTTGGGTGCGGACGGTGCACCGTGACGGACTTGTTGGGGGCGGGCGTCAGCTCTGGCCTGGCTTCGAGCTGCGCTCCGCTCGCTTTGACGTCCACCTTGGGGTGCGGGGCGCCGCTCCCTCCTGGGGAATACGAACGCGGATCGTGAGGACGGCCCCTCTCACAGCTCAGGGGCACGGATTGGCCACACGGCACTCACCGCCGCTGGCACTCAGAGAACTCAGCTCCCTGGACGGCTTGCCCCGGGCCGAGTGCGGACCCTGGGTGGACTTGGGTCGGACGGCGGACAGCTCAAGTCGTGGCACTGGCACTGAGTCCCTCTGCGACAGTGGGCAAGGGCCGGTAACGCACAGTTTGTAGCAGATTAATCAGTTATCGTCAGGGATGAATACGCGCTGACCGTCGTGACGGAGGCCTTCCTGTTCACCGTGGCTGAGGCGCTCTTGGCGGCGGCTCCGGGGCTCGCCCTCGCTGGGGCCGACGCCTGCGCGGCCCTTTTGGCGGGGACGGCGCCGCCCCGCGCACCCGTCGTGGCCTCGGTCGTCACGGTGCCCGTGGTGGTGGCGCTGCGCACGCTGCGCGCCGAGGCGGGGCGCGTGGCCGCCCGGGGCGGCGCCTTGATGAGCGTCACGCTCGCGTCGTCCTTGGCGCCCGCGGCCCCCACGGCCCCCACGCTGCCCGTCGACCCGCCCAGGCGGGCGGTGGACAGCCTGGTCGCGGCGGGCAGTCGCCGAGTGGCGGAGGCTTTGGTGACGACTCCCTGCGAATTATGTTCTCCGGATTTGAGCCCCAAAATGTGTTTGGGGAGTGGTGAACTTGTAGCTGGAGAAGTTACCCCCGTCTTCGACGCTGTCTTCACGGCGGGCGCTGCTTTCGTGGCCTTCTTGTTGACAGCGGGCGCCACGGGCGAGGTCTTGCGGTCGGGGGTGGTCTGGGCGCTGCTCTGGGCGGGCGTGGGCGGCGGTGGCGGTGGCGCACCGGCCGGCTCGAGGATGGTGTCCGCCAGTGCGGGTGCGGGCGGGGCCGCCTCCTCTGGCGGCGTCACTGAGCGCGGCGTGGCGTCCGTCACGACCACCTCCGGAATTTGCTGCGGTGGTAGCGCGCAGGGGGGCGCCTCCTGGGCGCGGGGCGGCGCGGAGCCACACAAAGGGTGAGTGACGGTGCAGTGCTTCGGCCTCGGCGGCCACCTGAGCGACGGCGCTATTCTGCTCTAAGTGCTTTGCGGGTCGGGCCGCCCAAACACTAGCGCAGCTGTCGCCTCGGGCGGCTCCGCCTCAACCGACGCCAACCCATGTCCCGCTCCTCTACGTCAACAGTACCCTGGCATCCTCGGGCGGCGCCAGGCCCTGGTCGAGGCTCGTGGTGGTGCTGAGGTACACGTCGGAGGCGTTCACGTCGAAGTAGGTACTGCGGCCGCCCAGGGGTTGCGGAGGCGCAGCGGGTAGCTCGCGAGATTCGGCCGTCTGGAAGCAGGCAGGTGACACGAAAAGTGCGCTGAAATGACGCCTCTCGCACTACAGAGAAGTTAAAATTTTATTCAAAAACGTGCCCCAGTCACAATGACAGCGATGGACATCTTTGTGACGTTTTCGTGTTTATGGGCAGGG